ATTTCATTTAATCACAACAATGGCCCTTTCGGGTCAGCAGTTATACCTAGTTTCAAATGAGAAAACAGAGCTAGAGAAGTAACATGCCAAGGTCACTCAGATAGCAAATGGTACATGTGGGATTTGAACCCAGAACTTTCGGGCTCTGAAGTTCAATTTCTCCGCCTATGCTATGCTGTCACTTATTACAAAAATAGCATATATAATGCATGTTTTCCAAATTAATATATTTTCCCAAATGTGTTACCATCAACCTTGCCGACTTTCCAAAGAGTGATGATTGCTTGGAGTTGACGTGCAGCTATTGATGGTTACCACATGGGAGCTATGTTGCTATCTGCCACTGTGCAAAATTTTGCATGATACTTAATTCTTCTAGACAACACTATCCAATAGAACTGTCTACAATGATTGAAATGTTTTCTATCTGCACTCTCCAACAAGACAGCCACTAGCCACCAGCCACAAGGGTGAGCTATGAAATTTTCAGTTCTCAGTACAAAACAAAAATGCAGGGCTTCCTTTCAAAAAATTAATAAGAATTTTTTTTTTCTCCGCTCATAGTTTTTTTATTTTTTTTTATTATTTTTATTTTGTCAATATACAATGTAGTTGATTATTATGTCCNATATGAAATTTTGCATTAAACTGCATGGTTCCTAGTTAAACAGTAACAGGGTAAGCTGAGGCTTACACTATTAAAATAAAGGCATCCATCTGTCCTCCCAAATCTTTATGAAAGGGGAAGGATGCTCAGCAAAACATACTCACCTACCCATGACCTGGTAGAAGCACAGAGAAAGGAAAACTCTTGTCTAGTTGGAACTAGTTTGCATCAGTTTAGCTTCTAGTGTCAGATACACAGGGCTTCTCGGATCTTGGCAATTAAAGCCTAAAGTGTCTTTCGCCTCTTACAACTGCTGCATATTTGCCCTGTCTGAAGGGCGACGGCATTGCCCTTATCTCCCTGCCCCATACCTGGAGGAGTCTCTGCTGCTGTCGGACTTGCGGCTGTCTGGGCCTCATGGGGTCCTGAGGCAGGGGCACCGAGGGAAGGTTGGGATGTGCAGAAGTCAGCACAGCATCAATTCCCCCGCCCACCAGAGGGCTCTGCTGTAGAGCCTGATGGTTCAGTCTGGCAAAGAATAATGCAACTTGTTTTCAGGCCCAAGCATACTGTCAAATTTTTAATCTGCACTACCAGCACATTACACGCATCCACCGAGAAACAATCAGTGCTCAATAATCACTTGTACAATTCAAACAGAATAAAGGCCAGTGGTTAAAATAATAGAGGAGACCACTTGAAAAAGGACAGCAAGCACACTACTTAAAGTAAAATTGCAATCATGTTAAACCAC